ATATTACGACTACTACTACTACTACTACTACTACTACTACTACTACGACTACTGCGACTACTACGACGACGACTACTACTACTACTACTACTGCTGCTACTACTACTACTACTACTATTACTACTACTACTGCTACCAGGACGACGACGACCGACGGCTAATGGCAATACTGTCTTCGATAGTAAGCACAACAACCGCAGCAACAATAAGGCCACCAACAGTTACAAAACGCATAACAGCAATAGTAGTAAAGTAGTATGAAACAAACAGGAAGACTGCGAGTCATGCTCACCACCAAAAAAAGCGATAAGAATAGACACAATATTGCTAACAAAACAAGCCCTGGTTCGGATTGCCACCACGAAAGACTTGACAATGCAACTTCGCTGAGAAACACTTGCAAGCCCGCTCTGTGTGCGCGCAGGACAGGCACCAACACTTTCGTCCGTAGGTTCGAACCAGAAGGCCTGTCGAGGCTGGCTACGAAGCTGAAGCCGCAAGTTCTGAATCATCAACTGCAACAGCGTAACGACCCACCCGACCCGAAGTGATGCACCCTAAGTCTCCCCTGTCGCGTGCCTCTCAACTCTCAAAGTCTGATAGCCCAAAGCCCAAGAGAGAGGCAGACTCCCATACTTTCAACCACAACAAGCTAGCCTCAGTTCTGGATCGCGAAAGCCATCGGATTCCTGCATCCTCCAACCACGCGCTATACCTACACCTCCGTTCATCCTTCTTTGCAGGCCCTGAGAACCCAAATTCGCCGCTGAACACCCACCTGCGGCCCGAACTCACTCACGCGTCGGACAACATGGCCTGAAGGATGTGAGCATGCTTCAACTGAGAGAAGTGGTACTAGTAATAGTAATCAGTAAGCAGTACTAAAATGAATGAAAGTGATCGCAGGAATAGGCATAGCAATTGTAGCTTCGGAAGGGCTACGCTTTACAAGGTCCCCGACCTCTGACTTTCTCAGATTCACACGTTGGAATTGGTGGCTTGAGCTTGGTCCATCAGACAGCAAAGACCATCTCAAGCCCCAGCAGCCCAAAGCCCCACAATGTGCGGCCTGCCTGAGACCCGGCTGAAGAGGGCCTCTTCTCGAGCCTGGGTAATCACCATGGACCACCTTGGCCACTTCGGTTCATCGCAGCAGGGCCTTCGATACCAAACGCAAAGAGAATCTCCGAACCAAAGCCATCCCACGTGTGCCACGAATCGAGGCTGCATCTCGATTCATGGGCATTAGGTCCTTTAGGTACTGGGAAGAACCCTGCCAAGTGAAGCAAGGTGAAACAGGCCCCGAAGCAATTCACATGTTGCCATTGTAGCACGGCGAGTCTCAGATTTTGTCCAAGGTGCACCATGGTCGAGTACTCATACGGCCGGAAGTCCATGCCCGAATCCAAATGCTTAACCTTGCTAACGCCCTATTCTTTCCACTTTTAAAGGCCACAGTAAGCTCATGAACATCAGAAAGTCATACCTGTCATACCTTGAGTCAATGAGACAAGACAGAAGCTCCATCTGGTCATCTTGAACATGGCACACCACTCCATTACTCAGCCAATGACCGCCATGTACGCGGAGTGGCGGATGAGCGCATCCTCGTTCGAAGGAGTGCAGAAAACGACGACAGTTGGCAAAGCAGGTGGAGAAGTCAGGCAATGTCGCCTGTGTTGCTCGGGCTTCACCGCGGCTATACTTGCCTGGGCTGCAGCCGAGCATCGTTCTCTTTCTTCAGCGTGGCGGTCGCCCACATGATGTTAGCAAGCGCCTGCTCAAAAGGGTCGTGGCATGTCATGGCAGTCATTCCGGTTTGAGTCGGGCATCCAATGCTTTTCTGCAGTCATGCGATCTGGACTCTAGAGCCTACTCTACACAGCCCCCGGAACCAAGCCCGACAACTTGTGCGCCCACAGCTTGATAGAGACGACGTGGATCCCAGCAGGCCTGGGGCTGAAACTCGCCCTCAGTAGCCAAAGGTTGCGGGTCCCTTTATTTTAAAGAGTTTTTGAAGCTTATAGTCTGAGAGCCCTCGGCACTGAGTTTCGAGGGCCTTGAAAGTCTTTTGGCTAAGAGTGGAGCCCACAAATTAGGCTCTGAGTTTCGAGATTTTGAGCGGCTTTGGTTTTTTGTCAGACCCGCCAAGGAGCAATGCATGCCAGGGAGAGCTTGCTGATGCGGTCGTAGAGGCCTGCATGGCGGCCGCGAAAGTCGCTGCGTTGGGGATGCATCGCCGACTGCCATCCCCCAACCCTCCCTGGACCCCCTGGCACCTGGAGGGTCCCACTTCCTGGGATGGGTGAGGCGATAGAGGAGAGTGATCTTCGAGCGGTCATGACTCGCTAGACTGAGCAAGCTATGCACTCGTACCAGCTGGCCCTGTCGCTGCGGTTCTTGCCTCGAGCTCTAAACCCTGCACTTTATCGTTCTGGAAGCGGTCCCTTTAAGCACTTTTTTACATGCAGATGCCGTCATGGTGCTGGGTGCTGTCTCTCGTTGACTAGCACTCTTCTTCGACACCTCACAGCAAACGGTACTGCGACGACCATTTACTACAGGCCAAGGCTCATGGTGGCCATGGACCAGGCGGTCAACGCTAAGTCCACGTAGCCGAACTCCGGCCTGGGTCCACGTGCAGCACAGCAGGTAGCAGTTGGAGTAACAGCGAAGCCCGCATCATTGCCAACATCAGAGGTAAGACGTCCTAATAAAGCTTCATGTTAGTTCATCCGAAACCCCAATTCTAGATCTTTCCGTGATATGCATATAGGGCTAGCGCGAACAACAACAGTAGCAAAGAAGGCAAAGGAAGATCCGGACAAGCATATAGTCATGCCAGTTGTCCTTGGAAGAGGCCGCGTCAACAGCAACATCTGACCCAAAACAGATGCTCAGTTATTGTTTGGGGAAAATAGAAGTGCTCCAGACTATAGTTGTATGTTCGTTAGATTCGCTCACCAAACCGACTCTTGGATGTTAAAAGGATTTGCCCTGATGACCGGATGAGGTACTGCACAAGAATACTGCAGTACTTTCGCGAGAGAGTAGTGACATGTTGTAGCAATAAAACTTAGTGGCTGCCAGATGCCGCTGCAAGTGAACACCTGCGATGTACTCATCCCTACAGAAACGGTGGCTTTGTGAGAAACTGCACGAACACGTCCCCCAATTGCCCAAGGTGCCTGAGGGCGACAGATCCCAGCTGCAGGAGGGTGCCGGATCAAAAAAATCATCAGGATCAAAAAATTTAATCACCCACGGATCAAAAATTAAATAGAATCAAAAAATATGTCTCTGCATCCTTTTAAATGGTACCCCCTTCAATTATCTACCTTCTCGGTGTTTTTTTAACGCATTAAGGAAGGGGGGAGGGTTAGGATACTTCAGCGTTTAAGAGCAATACAACTGTTGTCGCTGTTGCTGTCTCTGTGTGCCTGTATCTGTCTACTGTAAACCCCCTTGTCGTCATGCTGTTTTGTTGCTTGCTTTGCTGCTGTCGCAGACTCACTCAAAAATTACTGTGTTCCCGCACGAGGGTCCGTGCCCGTGTTAGTTAACACGGGCCGTGTTAATTTACACGGGGTCCGGGAACCAAGAGCCACGAACCAAGATTCCCAAAAAGCTTTTTTTGGCCAATCTTGGTTCCCAGGCTTGGGCCCGGTTGAAGACGAGGTCCAGCAACCAAAGCTCGCTCCAAAAGTCTTGGCTCTTGGTTCCCGGGCCCCGTGTTAATTTACACGGTCCGTGCTAATTAACACGGACCCGGGCCCAAGTGCGGGAACCAAGATGCTGTGCGAAAACTTTTGTGGGAATCTTGGTTCTTGGTTCTTGGTTCCATGGGACCGTGCTATTTAACACGATCCGTGTTAATTAACATGGGCCCGGGCCCAAGTGCGATAAGAAAGATGCTGTCCGAAAACTTTTGTGGGAATTTTGATTTCCTGGAGCCCACTAGGGAGGGGGAGGGCCAGCTTACCTCAGGGTTTAGGACCAGTGATGCTATTGTCTTGCCTTGCTAGTGTCGTCATTGTTGTTTTGTGTTGCTGCCGTCACAGAAACTCACTAAAACACAGCTCTGCACATGTTTGCGCGTGTCTATTCTAGCCCCCCAATATGTGTGCAGTACTAAACACAAATTAACAGGTGATAGAATACAAACCCGCGTGCGTGTTTACAGCACTGACGCATGTGTTTAGGGCACTGGGAGAGGAATCCGAGTATTGAACTTCAATCCCGGGGATTGAACTTCACTACTCCCGGATCGAACATTCAAGATTCAAGCTCCTGGGGAAACTTTGCCATGGAATGAAGTTCAATACTTTGGATTGAACTCCAATTCAGTTGCCCCGCCCACCTTGAATGTGGCCGACCGCGAGCCAGCATGATAGCCTATTCTTCCAGTGTTGCATGCGCATCAAATCCACGATGAACAATAATAGCGTTGTCTCCCGTGGTTTGCTCACTGAAGTCATCGGACTTCATATTATTCCTAGTAGCAATAGACCTAAGACCGACAGGGCTTTTCATACTCACCCTACTATGAGTACCAGCGTGATAGCCTATCCTGCATGCACATTAAATCCACGATGCTGTAGCATGCATTGCTGTTTTCCGTGTGTTGCTCACTGAAATCTATTGGAAATGGTTGAAGATAGACAGTGGTGCTAGCCCCCAACACAATTCCTACTTGGTAGTATAGTAATAATCGTCGCAACAGCAGCATGGAGGTTGAAGCCTTGTTGAGGCCGCTCATATCTGACTGAGCAATGAATTCCAACAGCAACCCAACGTCTCTTTTATTGTAAACTACGATTCCGCTTAGTATTAGAGTGGGCTAGGTGGCAAACCTCACAATGGCCTCAACAAAGCTTTTTCAACCCTGAAGTACTGCCAGCCGACCTAACATGACCAATCACGAATACCCATATTAACCGTCATAGCAGGATTCGCCACTCGTGCCCATATTCACCGTGACAGCATTATTTACTGCGCTTATTCCTCAAGCCGGCCCCCAGATTAGCTCCGACGCAACTCTGATACTTACATGCAGGCTAGAGATCAAGCTCCAATAGGAACCTTAAGAACCAAAAGTGAAGGTGAAGTGATTCCTGATCCTGAACAACGTCAACTTTAACACTGAGAACGGGCCTGGCCCTGATAGTGGTCGCAATGGCGACTTTGATGTTGCCCTCGATACCAGCCCTTTACAAAAACAACTACCAAAAATGTAAACCGCGAGACTGGATTCCAGGAATATCATGAATCGTCATCCTAGCCCCAAAGCACTAACCGGAAGCTTGATTTTAACTTGACAGCTTAGCTTACATGCAGTTTATTGGTTAGGAGAACAGCGATCCTGCAGCAAGGCAGGTATAAGCCTTTGGGGTAGCTTCGTGTCATTGCATTGGCTATATTACGCATGGCCTAGATGAAGACAATCCTCGCAGCACAATGCCAGAACCGATAAGCATGGGTTCGCATTAACAACTGAAAATGACGCCGAGTTTTGGAACATGCACCCCCGCGTGCCCTGGAAAGCCACGAAAAAGGTAGATAACTGAGGGGGGGGTAGCTCTTATATACAGTAGACGCTGCTTCTCCGTCTTACTACTTACTTTACTTACACAGGATGCTCGCGGCACGCGAAACCCGACACGCGCCAGTAGTTCGCGGAAAATACTTTCGTGCTGGTCCTCCAGCTGCCAGTACTTGCTGGGAAGCGACTTCGTCGTGCGCTTCTTTGTGTCTGAATCCCGCCAATTTTGGGGGGGCAAGGCCTTCGAGGCCCTGCTTTCAACTCGCCAGTACGTGGGGGAAGCATTTCGGTAGTTGTCTGCTGCGATTGTTCGAGCGCGTTTAAGTATGGGCCTTTTGGTTCGTCACTCCTTCAATTCAAAAAAAACCGCGCACCATCCTTTGCAGGAAAGCATCACCAGAAGTGCTGGTGCAAGGACATCTCCCAAAAGATCTGGCTTGATGAGAGGATGCAAACCCACACCCGCCACCACTGCCACAGCTCCACCGTCTGCGTTTGTACACAGCAGCTATCGAGACACATAGCAATTAGTTAACTAGTTGTGCGCGGTGTTGTCCCAAGCAAGTTTCCTCTTCTGTCAGCAGATGTGTAATGAAAAGTCCAGCTTGGAGAGTCGTGGAATCCCAGTTGGGCCCAAGACTGTACAAAGGGAAAGCCTGGCACTGTCCATGAAATCTTGGGCGTTGTGTTTGAAGATAATTTTGCAGACGTGCAGTGACACGTACTGATGACCAGCAGCCCCAGTCTGCGATTTAGAAAAAACTCCTGTCACGTGCACGTGTTGAACCTGAAGCTAAGAGGTGCCTCTCGTCTTGAGAGAATCCTTCTAGCATTCTGTATGGTGAAACAGCTGATGCCCCGTTGGAGGTTTGATGTCGTGTTCGCGTTGAGCCTGGAGCTAGAGGTGCCTCTCGTCTTGAAAGAATCCATCTAGCATTCTGTGCGGTGAAAGCCTCTTCGCATGCGCCACGGGCCATAATGGCAATGGCATGCTTGTGCTGTGTCATTCACTGTTTCGGGCTTCGGGATCTAATCTTCAAGCAAGGTCTGTGAGGCATGGAATGCGTGCAAATCGGGCCATGATGACGGAGGTTGGGTTCTGTGCAGAAAGTGTTTCGGAACCTGTGCCACGCGCACGCGGAAGTCGCACAGAGTGTGTTGGCGACTTGAAGCACACAGCCGCCTTTCTGTTACGGGGCGCGTGCCTTCTCCTCCAGCAGCCGCTCTTCGAAGCAGGCAGGTGTGCAAAAGGACAGGCCAGCCGTGCTTTCGCCGGCATTCAAAACCCGCATGTTTTTTCGGTTATTTCTTGCACACCAAGCCTTCTTGGTCCCGAAAGGACCCGTGATCCGCACACACACACACACACACTGCCCACGATTCACAGTTTCGCGGCGGGGTGTTGAGGACCTTGTAGGTTGTCGTGGCAAAATGGATCTGAGACTATCGGCCGCCGCTTGATGAACTCGCAGCAAAACCCGGCAGGCACATCGGGGAAAATTGCACGCAAGGAAGGCAAGTTCAAGGCGCGACAAGGTCTGGCAAACTGATCTGCTCAGCTGCGAACAAGGCCAGGAAGTCGCGGGCGCCGCACCGGTTCAGGAGAGCTTTCACGGCACGATCCGGCTTGGACTTGCGGGAGCGAGGCCGAATCGCAGCTGGCGCCGAAAAACCGGCGCCAGAGGGCAAGGCTTCGAAGGTCCGGATCCGGACCTGGCAAGATCATGTCAACTTCTGCCAGGTGCTCGGCAGGCTCGCGGGCTTCTCTTCGAGATGGTAGTCTTGCTTGCGTCAAGGAGATAGTAGCAGTAATAACGGAAATAATAGGAAAGCCGAAGTAATCGTAGCGATTCCTAATTACTTGTTTTTTGATCCTGGTGAAATTTTTGATCCTGATTATTTTTTTGTTGATCCGCATGCCGCTGCAGGACACCTCAACCCAAAAGCCTTGCCCAGGCCCAAGGCTCCGACAGTCGCTCGGAGATCTGCTCCATAACCTCGGAAAGACGCACGTCTTGTCTTTTGCAGCATGGGTACAGCTGCTCTTCCCGGTTCGACAGCTGATATTTCAATAGTCGTAGCACACTGCATGGAAAGGACAACCCAGCCTTGTCCAAGTGGGGACCCCGCGCACGCCTAGTCGCCAGGGCAACGATTAGAGGGTTTCAGGTGGGGGCGAAGGGGGCCTCTGTCGCAAGTTTAAAGTGCTCCCTTTCGAGTTTCCCGTCGGAGCTTGTTGCAAGCGCGATGTACTCAGCCTCATGAAACAATCCCTGGTGCGAGCTTTAGTTGTGCATCTGTTCCACAATTGATGATGCGAAATTAACCTGAGCCGCGAAGCATTCGTACTTTCCAGGAATCCCAGGCAGCTGTTGCACCGGCTTAGGCCATCCAACAGACCCAAATCGTGTCAGCCGTATCAGTTCCTCTGAGCTCGAACTACAGTTCCCAGTTTAGGCCCTTCGCTTTCAGATTGCCTATGAAAGCCCTAGGCCCTAAGCACTTTTTTGCATCCAGGACTCTTGCAACCCTTAAACCCTAAAGCCCTTAAGCAAGCACAGAAACCCTGCGACCTTTCTAGAGCGATAGGATGCGAGTCGCGAGGCGCCAGCTCACACGGTCCACAGACGGCGCGCCTGAACTTTTTTGTATAATAAGCTATAGAATATACTATAACACACGATAGCACACCGTAGAAAATGATGGTGTTCTATGATATACTAGTAGAGAACCATCTTGAACCATGATATGCTACCTGGGGCCTTGATAACATTCTATCAGGGTTACTCTAAGTCAGTTTTGGTATTGGGGCCTGTAGGTGCCTCGATACTTAACTGGAGTTGGCCTTTTGGAGTGCCAAAATACTTGCGTTCTTGATATGCGTCGTTCTGTCGTTCTTGCATGTGGAGGTGATAATAAACTAACAAACACAATAATAACAATACTAATAACAATAATAGCGGTAGTAACAATAGTTGTGATGATAATAATGATTGTAATGGTAATAATGATAATAAGAACCATAGGTGTCCGTCCATGCGACCGAGGGCCCAAGGCCGCTGGCTCTGTGAAACCAGCACCCAACAGACAGCTGCCGATTACGAAGTTTTTCCCTCCTACTTAGCAAGGACGAGCCAGCATTGCAGGGTATGCTCAGATTACGAAGTGGGTTCAGGGCTGAGGATTTCGGCTTTCAGGGCTTGGGGTTTAGGGTATCATCAAACAAAGCAAAGGGTTCTTTCACCCGCCCCCCCCCAGCTGACATTGTCGCGCCGCTTTGGTCTGGGGTTTACGCTCTAACAACTCGGACAAGCCAGGCGAGGATCCACAGGTTTGAGTCGGCGTGATACTAGGCACACGACCCTCTGACCACGACTATACAAACTATCCAGGGTTTAGTATAGACTTTGATGCCCAGAAGCCGCGACACGGAATTCCAGCTTTTCCTGCTCGTGGACCCCAAGAACCCCAAACCTGAAGCAACACTAAAGGCTTAAAGTCCTCAGCCCATGCTCTCAAGCCCTACAACTCCAAGACGCTGTGGCCACAGCGCCCTCAAGCCCCAAGGTCCCAAACCTTGAAGGTAAACTTTCCTTGCTGGCTAGGCTTTTGCTCGGGTTTCAGTGCTAAGCCTTGGACAGGCAATAGTTGGGAAACGCTTCTGCGCTTCGACATATTCGTCTGGCTAGGGATTCAGGCCGAGTGGCTTTTGAGGTCACGGGCCTGTAAAGCTCAATCATCGATTCTGTGGGTGACAGGGGGCCTCATCAACCGAGTGTTTCGTGGCAGCTGTCGTCTGCGGATTCCGGGGTGCAGTGTATATGCTGCTGCGCTGCAATCTACTGTATCATCTTTCAAAACGCCTGTTCAACGCATGCACCGAAGGGGCCATGAGTGCCACGGCCCCCACTTTCTGCCGAAACTTCTGCAAAATAACAGAAAAACCAAAGGCAAGGGTGAAATGACACTGGCGCGCTGTCACAGTGCAGCCAGCTATCAGGCCTGCCTCGAATATGGGTAGCTGTCAAAGCCGTGGTCCAAACATGGCCGTCTGTGTTGAGAGGAACTGCGAAGAGAAATCTATATGACATCTGTGACGACAGCTACCTCCTGGAAGAACCTAAGCTAAGTCAATCAATCAGCTCGGGTGGACTTGCACTTCGTGCATGGCCGAGCTAGGACCATGCCATCTCTGGTCGCAAAGCAGCCATCTTCTGACGTTATCATCTCCATACTTCAGGCTTGCAAAAACGAGAACGGAGACATGGACACGGCAGAAGGTGCATTTCGGAGATTGTCTCTGATTCATGACCTATCCGAGCTCCGAAAGCCGCACGTGGAGCAGCTGAGAGCTCTGGGGTACTCGCACACCTTACCGGCACGAAAGCCCAGTCTTCGACGGGACAGAATCGTATTTTGGCATGATGCACGGTGAAATGATGTGCCGGCTTCATAAAGTCAAGCGTCGGGGAAACCTAGTGACCTAGTGGTTCATCCGAAACCCCCGGCCGATAAATCGCACATATTGTTAAGCAGCTGAAGAAATGGGATTTGGCACTGGCAACCATGTTGGGCCCAGCATGCCCCGACCATGCTTTGATCCCAGGCCGACACGCAAAAAAACGTGATGGTCCCTGGACCACATCCGCGGGCCCGCGGCTCACGCGAGCAGCCTGGAAGATATGCGACATCAGGTAAGCTCGAAAAATCTCAAAACAATAGACCCATTTCAAGCTATTGGCCCAGAAGCCCAAGACATGTGCACTCGGCTCCCTGAGGCTTGCCATTACACCGCGAGCCTTTCAAACACCAAATACAATCCAAACCCGAAGCCTCGCACATTCCTAGAGACGCCGGTGCTATGCGCCACACTGAGGCTTTTTATCTCACCTTGCGGTGCATTTCCGAAGCCAAGTCCCGGCCTCTGCACTGCAGTGGGGCTCTGTGCCTGCAGAATGCTTTCTTAAGACGGACTTTGTCCCTGCAATTTCGCCAGGACCCGACCATCATTCCTTCCCCTTCCACCCTTGTATGCCCCGAGCCCACTCACGATCTCTAGTCTGTAGGTTTTAGATGAGACGGCCCTCTGCATGAGTGTTGTTGCAAGCCGCTAGCAGAACAGGCTCTCAACGGCCTGTCGGGGAGCCTCCATCAAGAAGCTACGAAATCCTGCCGTAGGATAAAAGATCTGTGGCTTATCCAGCTCTAGACCGCGAACCATGTTGTGGCCCAAACAAGCCTCAAAGGCATCGAGCCTCAGCCAACCTAAGCCCAATCATAAACACGAAACTCGAACCGCAAACCCTAAACCCGATCCCTGTCAGGACCCTAAGTTGCTGCAAAAGGCCTCTGCAGTCACCGCGGCGCGGGTCGAGGATCAACCGGTGCTGAAGCTGAAGGCGCGCTCCTTCATCCCTTTCCGCGTCAAGTTGATGAAGCCTCGGTGGAGGTGGACGGGGTTAGGGTCTGTACAGGCTTTAGAGGCTTCTGTTGAACAAGGTGAGAGTTGGGAAATGTGCGGGGGGACCATAAGCGTCAGGTGAAACACGCCGGGATCCCGAAACAACTGTTGGACGATCCCAAACCCAAAAAGCTTGCAATGGCGTTTAACTCCCAGGGCTGCAGGTATTGAAAACTCATGCTACCTCTGGCGCTCTTCTGCGAATCCTTCCGGAATAACCTGGCCCCTCAGCCGCTTTTCCTAAAGCGACACATGCAGCCGGCACGCGGTTGGCAGCAGCCATGAAGTTGCCCTGGTTCGGCGTGTCGTTGCTGGCGGTGTATTCATCTGCAGGGACGAGGCAGTCAGTTAAAAGCTAACCCGACGAAGCATCCGATTCGAAGTAAACGCGGACCACTCTTAGTCTTAGCCATGGTGCTGACTCACGTCGCAACCTCGTGCGCCAAAACGCTAACCCGGCAAGCGCCAGACGAACGTCGAACCCCAAAAGCACATGTAGACAACTAAGATGATGCCATGGGAGACGATAGAAAAAGCTCCAGCTGCGATGCTGTTGCTCAAGTACTTTACTGTACGGTCACCGTGATAAATTCTTTGATGCAAACGAGCGGTCCGGACAAATAACACCATCATCAGCATTGCGGGTCACTGTCGGCCTAAGCTATCACACGGTCGAGTCCATCATCCTCGTTCTTCTCTGCATGACTACAGGCCGTACCCCCCCCCCCTTATCCTCATCCTCATTCGATGTCATCCGCGAGATCATTCCACTTTACTTGACTAAAAATCATGCCTCATGATAAGGGTAAGGCTGCTGACAATGATAATGGTAATCGTCGTCGTCGGTATCGTCGTCGTCGTCGTGGTAGGCTGTGGTGGTAGACGACCTAGTTGCAATAATTAAGGTGGGAAGAGACGCTCGCCGTGGTAAATTCTGAAGCCCCAAACTCCGGAGAAGGCTCTGGCTTTCCATCTTTGCAGCCAGGACACGCCAAAGATCTTCCTCGGACGGGTGTCGGGTGCCCCTGTCTCTAATGCCAGGGGGGCGTTACGAGAAGAGCCTATGTCTGCCAGCATCGGGATTCGTAGACTGGCTTGGCACTGTCGGAGAACTTCACTGGGCGATTGTGCCGACGAGGATTTGGGATGCGGCCGGCGAGAAAGAGCTGGTATCCGATAAGCATTGCGGCACTCACACTCGGACAATCCAGGCGAAGCATGTGGTTCGAGGTCTGCTGACACTGAAACCACGGGCGCCTTCATCCACAATCCCAAACAAGTGCAACGTACTAACGAGACTCGTGGCCCCCTACTAAGCATTTAGGGAATCTTGACTTGGACGCACTGTGGGCAGAGGATTGCAGGTGGCTATTCAGAGTCAGAGCCACTGGAGGAACGCCATCTAGCATTGCCAGTGTCATTCTCTGCAGCACTCGGGCTCGTTTAGATTGTAGACTCCGAACCACGAAACCTGAAACCAAACCTACATACTTCGTGTAGGCTCGCTTGGGTATTTGGGGGCTTGAAGGGGTGGAAACCGTGGCTTCTGAGCCGCCGACTGCGAGAGTTTTGGTCGCAGGGCAAGATGTCTCCTGCCATCGAATTCCGTTCCTCAACGCCCTTGACCCCAAAATTGGAACATGGATCATGCATGATTACCGTTGGGATTCTCAAT